TTCCGACATCTGTACCAGTTTTTTTTTTTAACCACAATAAATGGACTTTAAATGTTTTTTGTAATTTGTTTCTTGTCCTGATGGAGTCACAAATTAAATATATATATATATATATTTTTTTTTTTTTTCCTTGGCTAATGTTACAGACAGCAGATACGCAGGATTATTGGTCAGGTTATTTTTTCCTCCTGGAATAAACTGCTGTTTTCATTAAAATGCTCTCGTTCCTAAAAGTGAAAGTGGGGGTGCATATGACCAAATTGGGCTTCATTTGGTTTAGGATTTTTAAAAGTATATGCATGATGAAAACACTTCTATGTGCTTGACTGTAGGTTTGAAAAAAATGTGCCGTGAAAGTATGAGGCAGATGCTAAAGGCCAGTATTTCGGCAGGAACTCCAGTCTGAACGATCACATATCTTTAGGGTGGATGAGAAATTCTTTCTTTTAATATTGGGATTCCTGTATATTAGTAATCGGTCACTGGGTCCTGAAGATGGTTTTCTGCAATCTGAGAATGGTCCAGTGTAAATATGCAGAGAGAGTATTGATATACATGGTATCCAAAAGCAAATGGGAAGTAAAGCTGGAAAGAAACGCGAGATAAATGCCAGTGAAATGGCTGCCGCTGAGGCCCTGACTGGCTTTTTGATTTTAAATGGTGTTATTGACCGACCAGCACAACAACCTGAAATGATCGGCTGTAATGATGTAATAGGAAAGTGACGTCTAAGTGCTGCAGTGAAGTTTCATGACGCATTGTGATTATTTATCACCTGTTATCTGCAAAGAACAAAGTTGAATTGATCGCAGTGGAATTTTCCCTTTTTCTTTTATTCCTGATCGGCTAGTGATGGAGTCGGTGAGTTTCTGAAACTGACGTGAGGAATAATCTAGAGGAACAGTCGCATAGGAGTTTATCACAACCTCCTCACTCCTCCCCCCCCCCCCCCCCCCCCCCCCCAACCCCCCCCCCCCCCCCCCCCCCCCCCCCCCCACTTTGTACCTGCACACCTCTGGGAGTGGCCAGTGCTGGGAGTAAAGGGGAGGGGCCAAGGAGCTGAGAAGGGAACTGCTACCGAGCCCGTGGCCTTAAGCCACTGCACTGGGTGTGTGAGCTGAAGGTGCGTCTGAAGGCGCTGCAGCCATCGGCGCTCCGCCAGGCACAGAAGATCATCTTGGGGAGCTCAGGTGCGCGTTTCTGTCTGGCTGGGGAGGCCGGTGGGGTCTTTCAGTCCCAGGCTTGTGTTCAAGGAATTACTTTTTAATCGCTGCTGGCTGGGGAAAGATGAATTTCCTCAAGCTGAAGGAGCTCTCCAATTCGGACCTTTACCGGCGCAGGCAGGAGCGACCGGACAGCTACGGGGGCCACCTTGCTCAGGACCCGTTCAGGTGAGCATAGGAGGCTTCCGTTAACCAACTTCTGTGGTACTGGTAAACGGTATGTGGTTAACTTGGCAAGAACCTGCTTTGGATGGACTAGTTTGATAGCATTTACAGGTTGGCAGGTTTTTCCCTGTCTCATGTTTCGAAAAACATAAACATAACCCTGAGTATCTCACAACGATATCCCTCAGAGACCGTTCGAAGTGTGGTGATGTGACGAAGCCCCAGTCAGTCTCTGCACGAGGTGCTGAAGGGCTGCCAGGAAACTGTGTCTGATCTCATGCCTCAGTGATTGATGCTCTGTGGATTAGATGGCTAACAATCCAAAGCATGCAGGCAGAGCCACCAAAGGACTTACCTTTAGAGATGGGAAAGTCTACATCCTGTAACCTCAATTGCATTGCATTAAAAACTATAATGCCTCAAAAGATGTAGTAAAAACTATTTTTAACAGGAAATATCCACGAGATCTATCTATTTATACATGGGTATAACACTTCAGCTCCTTTTGTGAGTCTAGATCGTAAATATAAGATGTTATTCCTTATTAATAAGATAAGAGTTATGTATGTACACCTGAATCCAAACATTGCAAGAGAAGGAACGCTTCTTAATATCTTTTAATTTGCAAATAAAGATATAATATGTGGTTGCATATTAAAGATAGGACTTCATGTGTACCTTTTGCGATTTTTTAAGTTTTCGGTTTTTCCTGTTTTTTTCCCCTCCTCATCCTAAAACATCAGTGAACGTTTGTCTTAAAAAATGGCCACGTCCCAACATGAAAATCGGCAAGATCAATATTTACACCTCCTATATCTAATGATCAGATATTCATTTAGCTTTATTCCTCTTCCAGTTTCTAAATTAATCTCTTTATTAGGTTAAGAGAAGCTGTTTATTTTTAAAAGCTAGCATTTTTAAATAAAATTTCCCCGTCTGTCTTTTGGTTATTTCATTAATTGGGCTTATCCACACTGTAAACAGTGACGCAGTTCTGGTCATCTTACGGAGAAGCCTTTAACTTTTGCGTATAAGACAGTCCACGTGCTTCCTCTTAGAGCACTCCCCTTTAAGGTGCGCTGAAACGTTTGGCCGCGATGACGCCGCGCAGTGGCTGCACAGAACGCAGTGGTGATCTGCAGCTGAAAGGTCTGCTGAGGAATAGGTAACTCAGAGGCACTCAGTGTCAATCTAACAGTGCCTGGGAAAGCAAACAACAGCTCAGACCATGGTTTCAGTGCCTGGCCAACTGTGATCTTTGTACCTGTGTAACAGGAGACTTTGGGAGTATTAGGGCAGTTATCGCGAGCATGCGATTACCCAGTAAGCGTGGCCTTTGGCTTCTCCCTCTGGTATGCAGTGGAGCATTCATTCATTTGTTGTTTACGTAATGAGGTGGAACAATGAGGTGCCTTCAGCATCCCTTTCATGTTGCTCAGACTGTCTTTATTACCTGGTCCTCAGTTTATTATTGGCAAACATGACGATGGGCCTACAGATGAGTCTGATGTACTCACTAGAACTGACCCCTGTGAAGTGAAATGGGATTTTATGCCATCTTGGATTTTTCACGTAAACTTTAATCCAGTATGATGGCAATAAAATACATGCTGGGGAGATTCGTGCAGCTAAGTTGGCAGGTAATTAAGCTGATGGACCTGCTGTTTCTTCCCGTGTAAGGCACACTTTTTTTTCAGCAGAGCACCGTATCAGAGCTTTGTGATTTGACTGTTTGTACTTATTTTAATGATTCTTTTAAATTCACTCTATAAATGTCTGTTTTCCTTCTGGGCATCTGGCTAAGTAAAATAATAGGAACATACTTGTGAGTTGAACGCATAATATTTCTTCTTGGATAAATCAAGTGCATATTGTGTCCTTGTCTGCACTTAATTTCACACAATATGTCTATATCTGTCACCTTGCTGACATAATTTATGCAAAATTGCAATGCAAATGCAGTTATCGAACCTCTCATTGGAGTTGGTGTTTATTGCCCTGTTTCCTGGGGGTACTGCTCTGGCCATGGTCACATGATGCACAGGAGGAAGCCCCCCATTGACGCCAGCCCCAGGTCCTAAAGGTGTAGTGTGTCAGACACGGCCTCCGTACCGCAGCCATACTTAGGATGACTAATCCCCTTGGTACCCCACCCCCCTTCCGGTCATTACAACCCCATTGATTAATTATAGGTACCTGAGAGGCACCAGGCAGTCCTATGCGCATCCTGGATCAGTGTCAGCTGTGCTGCTTGCAGACTGTCAGCTGATACCCCAGAGCGGCTGCTCCTGCCTGCAGCCAGGCTATTTACAAGCGCGGGCAGCAACTCATTAATCACCACAACACGTTAACTCAGATGGGGACAATAAATATTAGGGTATAATTTGTTGTGGTTATATAATATAGTAAATTGATGCAGCAATGACTTCTGTGCACACTTTTGAGGTGCCATTCACAAAGGATAGCTATTTGCTTTGTAAAGCATTATTGCTGATATGCAATGTTTAAACCAAGGATCTATCTGCTGTCAAGATTTTGCTTCATCCAGTCAAACAGTCCGAACTGTGGAAATGAAGCTGGATGAATCCATCAAGCTTAATAGATAAGTGTAGATATTAAGCAGAACATGATTAATGAGTGAGATTGCAGCTCCTGACGCTAAAGAAAGCGCATGGGGCTGCCCCCCCGAATGCCTCTCAGCAGCTCCTTTCACCCGGGCAGGCCTGGGGGGGGTGGGGGGGGACTTACAGAAGCAGCCTCTATGAGGCCCCACCTGTTGCTGTGGAATGTGAGATATGCAGCCGGGAATGTGCTTCCCGCTGGTGACGATGATGCAGACCACCAAAGCCCTACTGAAGCTCTTCCCTTAGCCTTAGACCACACTGTGTGTGACTGCAGCTGCTGACTTTGCCCGTTTTCGTTTAAATTTCATTATTTAGAAAATGTATTTTTTGTCCAAATGTACCAGTGAGGAAAGCCTGAGGTCATGGAGCAGGGTCAGTCCATGTCCCTGGAGTAGTTGTGGTTGAGGGCCAACAGTAATATCTCTCTCTGTAGGCCATGGGACTTGAACCCGTGACCTTCTGGACCTGTGCCTTTTAATCCACTGAGCTACTCACCTCCCCATCACCTTTGTACATCCTGTTTGTCTTAAAAAGTGGGTTTGAAGTGATCAACACTCAAATGCAGTTTATATATCTGAGTGATATATATAGAATCATCAACTTAGCCACATGGGAATCCACCGATATAATTTTCTTTAATCCTGTAAAACCCTGGTCCTTGAATTCTTACCAGCTTGGGAGCTCTCTGGAATTTGTCTGTGGTTCTGTAAATGGAGTATGTGATCCAGACCTAGATTTGGGATAAAGGAGGCGTACTTAATCTGCTAGAGCTGCCCATCATGACTGTCTTGTATGGGAATGTAGGGCAGGGAGAAACTGGCCTCTACCCTATAAACATACACAGACACACACACAGCCACGAGGCAGCTCCCAAAGCCAAGTGCCTAGTTTGGAGATGTAACACCACAGGCTGTCTATTTGTGGGAAGATGAGAGCATGCAGAAGGCTGTACCAGTGCATGAATGTCTCTCCTGTTTAAAAGTCCCATGGTAGGAGCTGCACTAACCGCAGCCGCAGTGGAGATGGATACCCGTGGCCTGTAGCATATTGACGCTCCACCTATTGTACAAGAAAAGGGAAAGTTAAAAAAAAAAAGGAAAATCATGAACATGAATTGATGAAATACATCATTTCCAATTGGAGGATTATCAGACAGGAAAAACATTTGAGTAGAGGCTTGAAGATTCTTTCCTTTTTTTTTTACTTAAAATGTCATGACAGCTGAAATCTTGTACAGTGTTGCTAACTGGCTAATAATCGTGGGAAAGAAACTGCCGATGATGCAGCACTGGATTGGACCGTTCATTTCTGCCTGTGAGCTTCCTGAAAACGAGCAGTAGGGTGATATTTACAGCCATGCGCATCTTCTGACTGACATTAATGAAGCTGAACATTTCCGTTGTTTCGGACTCCCCCAGATCTGGACCGGTATGCCTTCACAGGATTCTTGATGTAATGCATTTTTGGAAGCTCATCAATTCAAGGAACAGATGTATGACAACAGCAGGAAGAATTAAAACATTTAGACTGTATAGGCTTTGAGCCCTTCTCTGCGAGTCTTTCATTCATCCAGTGGCAGAGTTTAATACGTTGTATTTTAAAAGCAAGGTCTCCTTGTAATGCCACCCCCCTGCCCCCCATGTGTAGCAGAGTAGGACACTGATAACCTTGAGCTCTCAGCTCTGCTGCAGACTCTTATTTTGAAGGAGTCGCCCAGCCCATTCCTTACTGCGACAGGCAGTCTGATTTAACGGGGCACAGAGTGCTCTGTCCCTGGATCAGCAGGGTCCCTCTTAGCCCATCTCCCGGTTCCTCTGCTCCGGCGTGTAATTGGACGCCTCGCTCCCAACGCAGGCCAGCGGACGATCAGGAATGATTTCCCAAGGAATCCCCCAGAACGGGGAGCACCAGGCGGAGGAGAACAGGGAACACCAAGTGAATGGGGGGCAGGATGAAGTTCCCGTCTCCAACTTGCAGAGGAGGCGCAGTGACATCAAAGTCTACAAGGAGTTCTGCGACTTTTATGCGCGCTTGTAAGTGCCCGCCATGCCAGCTGCACGAGGGACAGGAGTAGGGGCTCGTGATATCTCAGGGGTCTTTGCCAAACAAAGACTACGAGCTTGAATCTGTCAGCAATAAGTGTTCACAACTAGAATAAATCTCATTCTGGGTCTGATAACGAAAGTGCTTGAAGTATTCAATAAATTCCGGATAGCTGAGAGTTTGGGGATGGTACTGAGATTCTTGATAAATTAGAACGAGGGTAACGGTAGCGCTGCAAGGGAGTCCTGTTGATGTACCAGTGATCAGGCTGCCTGACCGGCATTTTATTGAGATTTCTCACTTTAATTAAGTGTTTAAAGTGACTGTAAAGTAATCTGGTTCATAAAAGACCTTGGTTGATAAGGTAATATGTGGATTTCTAAGATCGACTGATGTTAAATTTCATAATGTATTAATTTATAATTTATATACAGTGGCCTTTGCAAGGTGTATAAATGTGTCATTGTGGCCCAGGAAAGTGAACAAAGACGGCTGCAAAAGAATGAAAGAAAACAATAGAATTAATCTGGTAAAAGATGGGTGATAATGAAGCTGATTATTGGAAAACTCTGTAGGATGGAGTTCCAGGAAAGGAGTGTCCTTACACTGAACAGGGAGAGGCGACCAGCAGGGAGGCCTGTCATCAACAGCAGTGGGGACACCTCACTGTGAAATGAAACCCTGCTTGGGCACAAGTCACTTCTGCTACTTAAAACACAAATATACTAATGCTCATAATCTCCTAAAACACTTCCTTACCTAGAAACAATTTAGTTTTCAGATATTTCTAAATATACCAGAGGCTTCACAGGAGACCCCTCCCCAAAGACAGCTGATGAATATTGATTCTCCAGCTCTGAGTTGAATATAGAGGAGCACCTACTGCTCTGTGATGGCTGAAATTCCTCTGGAATGAGACACAGGGAGATGCTTGCTGGCTGCAGTGGAAAAACCGTGCAGTGTGTGATCATTTCATCCACTCTCCAGAACAGACTGTCAGGCCAAATCCTTTTATAGTCATAATCAGCAAAACTGAGCTGTGGATTCACAGAAGCAAGTCCTCAACAGTATAAGATGAACTATATGCTCACATTAAAGGTTTTTCGTTCCATAATCTTTTGACATGTCATGGTTTCTTCATTTTCACTGCATGCTGTCATGCTTGTGGTCTTGGAGGATTGTCTTCCGCATCTTGCAAAACTGTTATGATGTTTCATGCTCCTTGAATTGCTGAGTTGATTTTCAGTGTTTAGCCACTGTTGCTGAGTAGGGGTGGCCATTAGCAGAGACCTCTCAGATTGATATTATATCAATATATGTTTGCTGATTTGATATGTATCTCAATAGTTTTTGCAGAAGAACAGTTCAGGTCTATGTTTAAAGTACAGACGGGAGCTATAATGGTAATGTATTCTTCATATGCTGCTGCATTTGGAATACACAGTGAAATTAATGAATACATTCCTTATCATGGACGAAACCTAAATTCTCTAATTCAAGTAGGCGATCAACATGGAAAATGTGCTAATTGTGGCTGTGAGTTGGTTATGGCTAGTGCAGGAGAGCTCAAACTCTTCCATGTCACTTAAATCAGTGATTTGTGAATATTTTGGTTTCCCTGTAAATTGCACCAACACTGGAGACAGAGCAGTTGATAAGACCAAGACTGTCGGCTCTGCTATACTGAACTCACAAATATTATTGGAAACACGTCCGGTAAACATGTTCTATGACACAATATGGCAGGTCCCTACTGTATAACATTTGTGTTGCAACTAGATTGTAGATGTAACACGGCCCATTTCCCAAGACTGAGTATCCTTTCAGCTTCCATGTCCCTGTTACTGCTGTTGTAAAAGCACAGCTTTGCTGCTTGGTTAGGGCCGTAAATGGTCTCCCGGTGTATGTGTTATCCAAGAGACACCACAGGAATTTTGACCTTTGAAACGAAGCAGTAGAACATCCCGTCTCATTCTCCTTTACTTTCTTGAAGCCAGCAGAATGAGTTTAGATTTATTAGTAAATGCATGTTTGTGCATATTTACACAGTAGTGTGTCTTGTCCTGTTTATTTGTTTGGCACATGTATCATAACTATCAGCAATTCTTATAGGTAAGATTTTTGTATTTTTTACTGAGGGATGCAAAAGGCTGTTATGCTAGTTATGATTTTTACATTTATGAAGGTGGAATTTACGTTTTCAGCAGATGCATGGTCTATTTTTTTCATTATCATAGTATCAATATCTGCCATATCACCTTCTGTCAATCAGTTTTTAAAAGAAAGTATACAACAATCTATGCGATTAATTCTCCTGTTCAGTTTACCAGGAGTCCTTGGACAAAAACCACAAATAGTAGTAAAGTGGCAGATTCACTTCAGACCAAAAAGCTATAAAACTAGACACGAAAAATACAACTAATTTTATTGAAGAGCTAATTTTGCAAGCTATATATATGCCTATTACAATAAACCATTAAATAATTTAAAATTCCCACATGGAATACTGTGCTTACTCCACCTTTGCTATAAGTATTGCGCAAGCATTGCATAATCATGGTGCAGCTCCAGAAAACATGAACCTGTTAAAACACGTGTTCTTTTGGTAAATTCTTTTCATAGCGCTAAGTAATGAAGCAGTAAGGGTGAAGGTGGCGTCTTCTTTCTCTGGTTTGCAGCAACATGGCAAATGCCCTGGCGAATGCCATCTGCGAGCGCTGCAAATACGGCTTCGCCCCGGCAGAGAAAATCGTCAACAGCAACGGGCAGCTGTACCACCAGCAGTGCTTCGTGTGTGCACAGTGCTTCCAGCAGTTTCCCGACGGCCTTTTCTACGAGGTACGCCTCTCTCCGTCCTGAGCTCAGATTCTGCAGCACACATTTTGTTCCCTGTGGAATTTTTTTGTTCGATTAGCTCGCATATGGTACTTAGTATCCGAATTATGACTGGCGTTCTGTCACGTTAATAGATAGTTTATTAACAACGTTGTTAGTAATGTTACAGTTTCTTTTTGAAACACTTTGGTCTCATTCAAAACCGTCTTGGCAAACATTTTCAAAACTCTTCAGTGATTTTAGGTCTTAATTTTGTAAAACTCAGGAATGATTACTGTACAGAGAGTTCAGCTTGAGTATGTTTTATTAGAAGTCACTTTAAATGCAGCATTAGCTTTGTTTTTGTTCAAACACGAGTCACATGAACAGAACGCTGAAGGTTAATTTTGAAGATAAGGAACTTGGTGTACATAGTTCACTACCTGATGCAGGTTTTAGTCATGGCTACTGAGATACGTTAATGTATTTATTTCGGATTAAAGATGCCGGAGTTCACTTTAGGATTTAGCTGCTGTATTGATTTATGTCTGTGGGAGTGAAGAGGTTATCCTGAGTTGGCCAGGAGTTAACCGGTGGCCTGTGAGACACAGTATTAAAAGGAGTTTTTACTAAGGAATAGTGCTTCACAGGACGTAAAGCCTATGGATGCACCTCCAGGGCAAACACAGATCAGTGCTGCCCCCTAGAGGTAATAAAAATGTTGGAAAGAGAAGTACAACCTGATAGAGCTAGGAAATATAGATGAAGGATATAACATAGAAATACTCTGGACTATTTTTATTAATTCAATAAACTGTAGAAATTTAGTCTAGATTCCACCAACATGATTTGACTGATAATCACACTTTGTGTTTCTGATTTGTGACACAAACAATGTGTTTCCTACAGTATGTATTGCTGCGTGCCACAGTGTATCATAGCCTGCTTTTGGTTCTTTTTCTATTACGTTTTAATATACAGCTTGATGTAATATATGTAGGTTTAGTGATGTATCTTTAAAGCAGTGTGTTCCATTGTGATGATGTCTCTCTTTTACGGTTTCTGTGATTGCAGTTTGAAGGCAGGAAGTACTGTGAGCATGACTTCCAGATGCTGTTCGCGCCCTGCTGTCATCAGTGTGGTCAGTATGGGAGCGCTTATACTCTGCGGCCCACCCTGACCTGTGCTTTTGGATGCCTTCACAGTATCTGTTAAAGTTATGAGGTTTTATGCATGACTTTGCTTTTGCCCAGGTCTGCCCTAGGTGACGTGCAAGTCCATCACAGGACACATGCTCACACACAAAAAAAGAACATTTATTGCATTAATTACTTATTGGGCATTATATTTAGGTATTTATATTATGAGTGGGAACCCAAAACATCATCAGTATCTTATACATAATTTTTACATTACAGCCATTTCATGAAAGCTATCGCTACATGCATGCATATGCATCACAGAAGGACACATCTGAGTCCCTGATATTGGTTAAGTGCGCTGTGTGCTTGTGTTGCCCTGTCTGTCCTGCTGCATCATCTTTCACCTTTGGTACACTCCCCTTTTCGTCCTCTAGGGGAATTTATCATTGGCCGTGTCATTAAGGCCATGAACAACAGCTGGCACCCCAACTGCTTCTGCTGCGACATCTGCCAGACAGTGCTGGCCGACGTGGGCTTCGTTAAGAACGCCGGCAGGTAAGCCCACCTGTTAGCATAACTTAACGCGCTAACAGAATTTGTGCTAACAGAAAACAAGTCAAGTCAAGTCAACTTTATTTATAAAGCCCTTTACGTACAGCAACCACTGACCAAAGTGCTGAACATAGGAACATAAAATACATAAAATCAAAAAATAAATAAAATAAAATACAATAAATTAACATAACATAATATATCATAAGTCGGCGTTGAATCTTCCTTATTTATGCATGTGGCCTTGAGCAATGTGTTTATGAGTTGTCCTGTTACAATGCCTTAATGCGGCCGCTCCTCAAGATTCACGAATTTGACATTTGCGGTTTGAATTATTTGCAAGTTGGCTATAATCAATTAAACTGGAACATTTTTGGATCTGCCCGAAAGATGATGCATAAGTCAGAAATATATTAAGGTTGTTTGGATAAGATTTGGATCATGTAAAATCATATCATATATTAATGTTAGTGTTATTTAACATTTGTTAGTGCAAGTGCGTACTATATTTTTAATATCAAAAGTTGTTTTTGATTTTTTTAAAAAACTGTAGGATCTACACATCTTAGCTTGGGTATGCCTATCACCTTGGCAACCAGCCTCCCTCGCACGTCAGCTGTCCTTGCTGACCATGGAATCTTGCTTTTCTCGCATTAACTTTTAAACTTGTCAGTGACGTTACTTTTGCACTTTTAATGATGGGCCCAAGTGTCATTTGTGAATTTTCACATTGACGGGGCTCTTTCACCCCTAATCCTCGTCAATGAGAATGAGGTGACTGTAAAACTGCTAACTGCACAGTATTATTAATGGCTGTCCTTACTGGCTGTGGTCATGGTACGTCAGTCCCTTACTGGCTGTGGTCATGGTACGTCAGTCCCTTACTGGCTGTGATTGGTCCCCACAGGCATCTGTGCCGCACATGTCACAACCGGGAGAAGGCGAGAGGCCTGGGCAAGTACATCTGTCAGAAATGCCACGCCATTATCGACGATCAGCCTCTCATCTTCAAGAATGACCCGTACCACCCCGACCACTTTAACTGCACCAACTGCGGGTGGGTTCCTTGCCGGCCTTCATCCTGCCATTTATTTGGGGGCGTAACCTGAGCACGCTCATACATCACCGCTCTCCTGGATCAGGACACATCGGGCACTACGAATACTGTGTGATCCAGAAGCCTCCCCATGACCCAGGCATGAGCTGTCAATAAGACTAGATGTTTAGGCAGGAAATCATTCCTCGTTTGCCCAACAGCTACGCACGTAACCAAGACATCCGCTGCTCAGTCACTGTGCAAAAGTCGCCCAAACAGAAAACCGCCTGCTCCACATCTGGCATAGAATTTAGACAACCGTCTCTTGATCACTTGCAAATTTTCCATTACATAACTGAATCTTTTAGTTGTTCACCTGCTGGACCCTAAGCACAGCTCAGGAAAGAGATTCAGTACAAAAGAAAATATACTGCCATCTAGTGTCAAAAATGTGTAATGCCCTCGTTGGTTTAGTAATGTCCAATAAGCCACTTTTAAAATACGTTATCCCAGGGCTCTTCAAATCTCGAGTCCAAATCCAGGCCTTGTTTTCAGTTCTCCCAGGTAGTTAGTTTAATAATGACTGATTCTGATTGGTCAGAGGCTTCACACCTGGCTCACAGGTAAAGGAAGGCTGGTAAACCAGCAGTACTCAGACCTTGAGGACCGTGAGTTGAGTAATGGGGCCTTATCCAGTTTATGGATGCAGGATTAACCATCTATGACTCTCATTTCTCGTCTCTTTGCAGTAAGGAGCTGACTGCCGATGCCCGGGAACTGAAGGGAGAACTGTACTGCCTGCCCTGTCATGACAAAATGGGGGTGCCCATCTGCGGAGCCTGCCGCAGGCCCATCGAGGAGCGGGTAGTCAATGCCATGGGCAAGCAGTGGCATGTGGAGGTCTGTATGCTGCTGCATCACATCCCTGTCAAGTCCTGTAATGACATTGATAGGATGCCTATAAGGACTAGAGTCCAGACATGAGAATTCTTTTGGGCATTTTCCAGTTGTTCCTTATTTGGATGTGAAAATAATAACTAAGGGATAAACCACGACGAGGTGCATGTATATACGGAAAAAAAATCAATTACCTCCGCATTACACCAAGTTGGAGTTGATAATTTTCATATAACCACACATCTCCTTCTGGTTTATCCCGCTTATACCGCAGCTAACAAACAAAAAAGATTAATAAAATAAGTACCTTGCTATTAATTTTTCAGAAGCACATGATTTTAATTAGCATTTAACAGTGTTCCAGTGTGCTCTTAAAAATATAATCCCTATAAGCAGAGAACGTCTGGTCCGGCTACTGGAAGCAACAAGTCCGTTAAGTTACAAAACTTGCATTTTGAACATGAAGGAAAATGATGGTGATACGAATGACTGCTTATTTATGAGTAAAAAGTCACACAGGTATTTATATTAACATGTTTAATGAAACATTAAGATGCATTAATATAGGATTGTTATTAGGCTAGACGAAAATAATCAAGCCAATAAGAAAACAGCATTTACCAAAGCTGTGGTATAAAATTTATGTATCTTATGTATTTTATTTACTGTGCAGTTCAAAAATACAATAAACAATAATAGTAAACAAAAGCAACAATGCAGTAATATTCTCAGCACTTTGTATTCCTTTCTAAATTTCCTGTACTGCCATATTTGATAACTATAATAGCAACTGTAACCCCCATGTCTCAGCAAATCACTGAATTGACTCACTGGTGCCGTGTGTTTGCAGCATTTCGTGTGTGCAAAGTGCGAGAAACCATTCCTCGGACATCGTCACTATGAAAGAAAAGGATTGGCTTACTGTGAGACACACTACAATCAGGTAGGGTTAATTTTGGGGGTGGGGGGGCATTTTTTTTCATTAAATAATCAGAGGAAAACCAGTTTTAGCAAATTACTTGCTATACAGAGTTTTGACCACTGATATAGTATTATTGAGCACAATGATCTTATGGAACAACACTGTAATCAGCATGCAAACAACTGTTTTAAAAAGTGTTATAACTTTTAGAAACTATAATGCAATTCTGTAAGCCTCTGATAAAGAAACAAAATTATGATGTGTTAATTTTCTGTTTTGGCACCGTGCCATGTTTGCTACCAGGCCTGCATTTACAGCAGAGCTCTATACCACATTATGCTGAGCTTTTAGCTCCTTGTGCCTCATTTTTGCAACCTGTACTGGTGAAATGGGCATTGGCACTGTTGGTGCCACATTCCCTCAAATGCAGAGTGTTTCAAACTGCGATCCGTGACCCTGTCATCACACATTACAGGCTCCCTAGTTTAAGAAGGGTTGCAAATCCCTGCTCAGGTGTGTGCTATACTGCCCTCTATTGGTAATATAGTATTTAGCTGCTTTCAGTTCTGATCAGCTTTGAGTCAATAGCATGTAGCAACCTAATAAAGCAAACAATTGTTTTCCCGTGTCTTGCAGCTCTTTGGTGATGTCTGCTATCACTGCAATCGTGTGATTGAGGGAGACGGTGAGTTTGCTAAATTAATCCTATTGTACAATGAAACAATGCATTCTTACACTATACAGTATACTGTACGTGAGAGTCTATGAGTCTTTGGCAGGATTTAGCAGGTTTGCAAACCAATACACCTAACACAGTGTTTTCAGTTTTTTTCAGTAATATTATTATAACAGAAAAATGCTGCTTCAGCAGTTAAGATGACCAACAACAGAACCTTAATTGGGTATCTGGGTTCTACAATTTGCTCCTTCTCTCTGGGTCTGTCCCTGACTCATGTCCGACTTACATATTATATACATAAGGGCCGAAAGGGCAGTAGGGTCGTGAATCATCCCAAACCAAGACTGTCACTTGGCCCTGCCTCCCATCATGCCTAGCAAGTTCCCATCCTACAGAATCCTTAACACATGAATGTCTAAATACAATGTCATGGGTTTCAATGTTATGCATTTGTATTTAACCAGACCAGTCATTGTAACAATGGCAATGTCTATCAATGAGATTAAAGCTGTGATTCTGTCCCCCAGTGGTTTCTGCACTCAACAAGGCCTGGTGTATTAACTGCTTTTCCTGCTCCACCTGCAACACCAAACTCACACTCAAGTAAGTAATGAGGGACATAGTTTATCTTTAAGGGGATATTGGTATCTCTTCATCATGGAATTCAAAAAATCTCAAAAACAACCTAAGAGACAGACAAGTTATACATCCCTCATATTGGTTCACATTTGGTATAGTTGTGTTTGTCTGCCCAAATTCTGACGTACTGTGACATTTAACATTTTGTTGTTGCAGTTTTTCCTCATTGGTTTAAGGGAATTAAAACCAGCCTACAATAAGAACCAGTGTTCATTTTATAAATGTGAAGCAATGTTATATTTGAATTTACGAGGTGTTCTTCCTCGTTATGGACTACATTACTGTAACAATGTAACATCAGAGAAATGTTATTGGTCTCCAAATCACTTATTATAGATGCACGGAAATGCTGTATAGTGGCATGGTGATGAGTCATGTTGTCTTCTGTATGATCTACCTATTGGTAACCGGTTATGGCGCAGCATGGGGTTGGTGAGAAAAAAGGGTGATGATCCATTGGCGGCTCTGAGACACATGGGGGTTTATTAAAGAAACTAAAACAGACACACACAGGACCACAAGGGGTCAGAACTAAATGGGCAAAATAACAGGGAACCATAAATCAACATACTGGGGAAATCAGGCAACAAAGGAATCAGGAACTAGAAAAAACAAGCAGAGAGACGACACACAGTAACATGCACACACAATGACTAAAGACCAGAGTGGACACAGTCACTTAAATATGCATAGGGAATCAGGGCAGACAAGGGACAGGTGTACCACAATACTCAATTAACCAATCAGAGGAGACACAGGAACGACAAACAGGTGGAACTACTAAACCAAGATGAACACAGAACTAAGGCTTAGACATATTCTGGCACTGGGAATACAAAGCAAAGCTAATCAATTACGAAACAAAACCAGAACAGAACAAAAGGAGGGTAAACCAAGCCCAGGAATTAAGACACAAAACAAACAGTGAGGAACAGAAAACTGACAAACACAGATAACTGGTGAGGTTGGTGACTGGTCAGCTTCAAACCCATAATTTGGGAGAATCAGTGTCAGAGCCACACACTCGACGCAGTAAGCTAAGTGACAATCCAGGGAGCAGGCAAAACACACAAGGATTGGAGGAAGCAACAGGGAGGCGGGCAGAAAGGCCAGCGACACCTGTTGGCCAGAGGGGGGGGGGACATGACAGGCGGAGGCAGACGGGTCCTGACCCTGACAGTAACCATGGATATCGACTAGATGGAGATGTTTCTCCTGGCAGTTCAAGACTGTGTGTAATAATCAGCAGGGATGAGGAAAACATTTTTGTCGTCTTTTTTTTCACTAATAGCACATCTGTCAGTTCTGAGTAGCCACTGTGTTCTGTTTTGCCTATTTCCTAGCTGTTCTATCCACCTCGAAGTCTGTCCTTTACATTTTCTCTCATACTCCCCCCCCCCGCAACACATCCCACTCTGCCCACACCCCATGCCTGTGCTAGGGACAAATTTGTGGAGGTGGACCTCAGGCCGGTGTGTAAGCACTGCTATGAGCGATTGCCCGAGGAGCTCAAGTTCCGTCTCGCTAAGCGGGAACGTGACGCCAAAGACAAGAAGAAGAAAGCTGGCATCTGTCTCTAAACCCTTCTGTCCCTCATCCTCAGCTTCTCATGTCACATCTTTGGTTAGTGTCCTTCTCTCTGCCTTGCTTTCCGTTTCCTTTCCATTCTCCTCTTGGTGTGTAAACTTCTATTGATAAATGTATTCATTCATTATTTTCCTCTCACAATTCTGGTCAGCCCATTAGGCGACATGGGTGGCTACCTAGAGTACCACTTTTCTGAGTGGGTGTCGACTTAGCAAGCCACTTCAACAGTTCAAGACAAAGTGAGATGGCCCCTTATTCCTCTGATTCTGAGACTCTGGGGGGCCTTTTCAGACACTGTAATGTCTGCAGTCCATTTGTTGGTCCATTTGGTGCATAATTAGCATGCAAAACATACTCTGTAAACCCTCTGCATGTTGTCACACTGCAACCATTTGTGTCCAGGAACAAGTTTGTGGAGTTTGACATGAAGCCAGTGTGCAAAAAGTGCTATGAGAAGTTTCCCCTGGAGCTGAAGAAGCGGCTGAAGAAACTTGCAGAAATACTGGGTCGGAAGTAAACTGCTACATTCAAAACGGGCTTCACCGACTAGCTTGGCTGCATGTTCCAGTGATGATGAGCACAGCGCTGCGATGTCAATCAACTTTAACAAAAGGAGCACATTCTTTTAAGATGCACCTTTGCTGTGGAACAAATAACAATGGCGTTTTCTTCAGTGCATTGTATCTTATAGTGCGTTTCATTTGAACATATGCGTTTACCTGATCTGGATGCAGTGACTAGTTGGTTGTGTGCATGCCCCAAGCTTCCAAAATATGTCACTGGCCGATGGATGCAGCTAGTAAATATTAGCAATAATTTCTGTTACACTTTAAGATTAGCTTAAATAAGCACCTTAAAGACTGATGTTTTTGATGTAGCCTTCACTGTGGAGTATTTGCATGGCTCAAATGGATTAAAAATGTTAATTATTGTTTATGTCATATAAGATAAAACCCTGGCTCTTTTTAAACCAATAAACCAAGCAAATGGAAACATGCAATTTTTGCCATATAAGGATTTCTAAGAGGTTCTATAAGGTTCGGAGGATTGTTAGAAAGATGTGATGCTAGGCTCATTTTCCAAGCAGTGGTTCTGCCACTGATAGTCGAAATGTTACTTTTTGTCAAAATTAAAACATTATTGTAGTTTCTTTCTTGTCACATATCTTATATAAATAAAAGATGTTTCTACATGACGATATTTATTCTTTTATTGTCTCTGTACTGCGATGGGCTGGCCCCCCATCCTGGATTGTTCCCCCACCTCGTGCCCATAGCTTCCGGGGTAGGCTGCGGACCCCCCGCGACCCAGAAGGATAAGTGGTTTGGAAAATGGATGGATAGTCTCTGTATCCTGGAATGAACATTTTTTAAATATATATTATGGTTTCTATATGTGTATTATTATTCATCTAAAAAGATAACCCTGCCATTGAGAACAAGCTGGTTGTTCTGGAACATAAGATTAACCTGTTCTGACAGGTGCTTCATTTTAAGGTGCAGCCTTTTGGACATTAAATGTATGATATCCTTCCTGTGCTGCTTATAACACCTGCTATCACTAGTCACCTCAGGGATTGGACCACAGTGGTCCCAGACGGCCCAGTTTTTAAGAATGATTGTATAATTTAAAGTTAAATTTACATACTGACAGCAGTCAGGCAGACCAGCAGAAATAGCTCCCGTTCCCTCCTGATCAGGTAGATGAGGGAGGGCTCTCAAACACGCTTATATAAGAGTTCTGAGAGTTCCTCAGGAGCCATTAAATGATTTTGATGAGAGATTGATAAAGCAATACATGTTCAGCAGACAAGGAATGAAATGTTTCAAAATAAATTTACTATAGCCATATATTTGAAATCTGACATTCCACAGTCAAACAACGACTGATACAGACCTAATGCTGAAATATTTGGCCAGCAGCACTTTCCTATAAACTGTCTGAGATTCAGAGAACCTTTGTAAATATTCTGACTGTTGCAGTGCGAAGGTAAGTACAACACCCACTATTGTAGCCAAATGTACTAGTACGTTTTTCATATAATTTAAATAAAAAAAAAAAATTAAAATTTGTCAGTGAGATTAAAGCCATGATTCTGTCCCCCAGTGATTTCTGCACTCAACTGTTTTTTTCTTCTTTTTAAAAAGAAAAATGTTGTTTTGGGACATTTTAGGTACTGTTATATGACAGACACACACCCCTTACAGTAGCAGACTCTTCTTTATCCAGTCATTTTACCAGTGGCTTTGACAATGTGACTCTCCAGTCAATGCAATTGTGAACAATTGTAATTTTCTACTAACCTCACCACTTTGAAGGATATTCTTTATCTTGACTGGCTACCAATATATTTAATCCCCCATTGTAAATAAGAATACTTAAGTACAATGTATTGCATCCATTTTTGATACCGGCTTGTTCTATGCAGGATCATGGCACCTCCCCATCACAGAGCACACCATGCACACCCATAGACCATTTAACATTTTTTTAGACTTGGGGGGGCGTACCTAGAGACAACCATAAGATGACATAAGGCAACCGTGCTAACCACTGCACCATCCTCAGACAATGTATTAAGTAATTGCTAATACGAAATTTTATACATGGGTTATATTAAACACATACGGTTGCTATATTAAAAGACACAAAATCTAAGGTTATGCCCTATCACCTTATACAATGGCACAGAAAGTCCTAATGAAATGTAGCACATTTATATACACATTTAACTTCTTGCCAGTCTTCTTCCACGCATCTTCACATGCATTGGCTGTTGGATTTATTAGTTTAAATGTCTCTGTATTCATCATAGCCATGGTGATTGATTACTCAGTTGCACTGAATTTTACGGCATTTTTCTTACGAAACTGACTCTGAGTCGCTAAGTGACCTTCGAAACTAGACAATTAAATCCAAGATCAGCAGTACATGAACTGAAAAATACCAGATATTATGTAGGATACAAACGAATGTAGATTCTGACACTATGTCATCAATTTGTTTTGCAATGTAAAACTAACGGGACAGTGGGTTAGATGGTAAACCCACTTTCTGGACTACCTTCCGGATTTGGGATGTTTGGTTTTGCCAAACGGGTAATCGAAACCCCGACTTGATTAAAACTCTCCGGTGGCACATGCTCCAAGAAACTGCATCAACAGTAAAAAAAAAAAATTAATTTACTTTTCAACCAAATCGTAACTTGGTAAACAAGTGTTTATGCAACTATAGGTTAGATTAAAATAAGTACAATTAGGATATGTGATGATTTTTATATAATCTGTAATATATTTTCATTCTTTTTAACATAACTTATAAACGAAAACACCTTATCGCGTTGACCAGCCTAACCCTACGACGTTTATGTCAGCTCGCGCTCATCTGTTTCGGCCAATCGCCGACGTGTGCGAGGCGTGACGTCACCGACTGAGTGTCGGGAGTCTGCGCATTGGAACCGTATGTCTGAGTTTGCGTAGTGAGGAGATAATGGAGGCTGTTAAGTGTGTCGGAGAAGTGTTGTTATATTGAAGCTGTCCTGTAGTTTATAATTCTTTTGTCTTTCTTTTTTGGCATTTTATTTATATAAAAAGGCTGAATAGACCGAAACGCGTCTCCTGAAGACCATGCGCCGAAGCAAGGCCGAGGTGGAGTGCTATATTTCGGCGGTTCAGAGCGCCTCGCCGTCCCTGAAGGAGGTGGGTTTGACATAGCCGGTAGAAGCAGCGACCGGGGCGTCGTGGCGCAACCCGGCCTTCGCCGAGCAGTGCGTTACCGGACTGGCTTTACAAAGGCAGGAACGCAACTCCCTGATAAAGTTCTCTCTTTTGATTTAGATGGACGCCCTTATGGAAACCCGCAGGGCCCTTGCTGTTTCCTCATGCGCTCATTACGCAGTAACCTGTATAGCGGTTGACTAATTGCTCCTTTTAATAGCGTTTGCCTTTATTTTCCGTGTTGGAATTAAAGGTATTGCGGTTCTGGGTTTTTAGTTGTTATTGTTATTGCTTTTGGAGTTTATTTTGTTTATCACTCTTTATTTCTGCCGATTTTTTCTTTTAATAATAGTGACAGCTTCGGCTATCTGTCCATTTTATTTTACCGCTGAGATAATACGCACATTCTTGTGTTAATTTTTTCCCCCACAGAAACCCGTCAAAGGATTCTTATTTGCAAAATTGTATTTTGAAGCAAAGGAGTATGAGCTTGCTAAAAGGTATGCATGTTTATATTTTATGATATTCGAGAACCGTTTTGGTGGTGTTTTACACATCTATAAGGATACTCCCCGGTGTGTTTGTGATCAATACCTGCATTTATGTATTGGTACATTTTAGTTGTCAGGACTTGTACATGGGATTTTAAAACTGTTTTAAAATTTTGTCGGCCTGAGAGCTCTTTTTACATTGATTTATTTGACTTAAGAGGGTGAGTTTGTGTTACTCCAGTGTGAGTTTTGTACTTCACGGTCAATGACATTACCTAGAGCTTTAATTATTTTTGATGGTTCCTCTTTAGGCATGTTTCAGCCTATTTGACAGTGCAGGAAAGAGATCCCAAAGCACATAAATTTCTTGGCCAACTATATGAGAGAGAGGGAGACATTGACAAAGCTGTGGGATGCTACAAGGTAGGTTTCCATTCCATGTTGATTGTTGTAGTGAAAGGGTAAACCTCTCCCATGGACATTCAATGAAATGTCCTCTTTTTTTTTTGGCTGTGCCCCACAGAGGTCTGTTGACCTGAACCCGGCTCAGAAAGACCTAGTTCTGAAGGTTGCAGAACTGCTCTGCAGCAAGTCAGAGCCGGACAGCCGAGCCAAATTCTGGGTAGACAAGGCAGCAAAGCTCCTGCCTGGAAGTCCAGCTGCCTTCAACCTCAAGGTCAGCTTGTGTGTGGCTGTGTGGACTGGTGTTTGGCAAATCACCTAATGCTATGGTAGAGCTTCACCGGAGGGCATCTCTCCTTCACATCCCCACAGGAGAAACTGCTTAGCAGGCAAGGCCAGCAGGGATGGAACCAGCTGTTTGACCTCCTGCAGTCAGAGCTACAGCTGCGTCCTGATGACGTGCACGTCAACATCAGACTGGTGCTGCTGTATTCCTCAGATGGACAGCTGGAGGCGGCGGCCAGACATTGTCTCGATATTGAGAAGAAGGGACTCCTTCGTCATAGCCTGGATTGGTACTCTGCTGTCGTGCAGACACTTCAGGTACTCTCAGCTCCCGCCGCCTTTCTTGCACTTTGTGATGGAGGATGTTTGACCCGACTGCCTGTGCCCATGTGCTGTGCACGCAGGAGTACACGGCACAGCCCAGCGCGTTGGCCAACGCCACGTGGAGTCGGGAGCTGCAGAGGGAGCTGCTGCTGGCACATTGCAGCCTACTGAGGCTCACACTCTCAGAAAAGGGTGTGCAGCAGGCGGTGGAGGTCCTGCAGAGGTGAGGCACTGCAATCTGGGGGTGTTTTTATGTGAAAATTGCATTGTCAGATGGGGGAAAAAACCCAAGTCGCATTTGTGTTCAGTGAGTTTATCTTAGTATTATTGGTGCTATTTAGTGTTTAGAAATGGTTTGGACTCCCGTCTGTGTCCTGGTCTTCAGACTGAAGTCACGCTTTTGCCTGTTCCCCAGCTTTGATCATGCCATGCAGTCTGCAAAAAGGCTGGCCGCAAGCACCACGGATGAGCTGTCTGAGATATTCTGGGAGCTGCGAGGCCACCTGTACATGTATGCTGGGGTGCTCTTGCTGAAGATGGCGCACGACAGGATGCAGCAGTGGAGGGCGGTGGTTGACCTGGCGGCCCTCTGTTACCTTCTGGCTTACCAGGTGAGACCCAAGAAACAGCTGGGCTTTTGAGTGCACGTTTTTATAGATAGTGTTGCCTAATGGAGGCTTGGACACGCATGAGTGAAGTTTTAGCTTTGCATGCATGCAGATTGAATTACCGATGGTGCTCTCCGAAGTACATGGATCAGAGCGGTGTTTTGCGTACAGGTACCCAGGTCGAAGTGGAGACCCTCCAAAGGCGACCAGTCGTTCCACCAGCTGCTTGACCACCTTGCTTGTGACCGGCAGAGTCAGTCGGGTCACATGCTTCTGAACCTCAGTGGGCAGTGTGAGACCTTTGTGAAGGATGTGGTGGAGGCCTTTGGCAACCGGAGTGGGCAGGGAAGCCTGTTTGAGATGCTCTTTGGCAACTGGGCCACCACTGCCCCCTCCTTCATTGGCAATGATGACGTCACTATTCTTGGCGCCCAGGTGCCTGATATGGCAGACCTCTTGAAGTGGGACAGTGGTATGTGAACAGTTTTAAAAAATATATATTTCTTTTGTTTGAAGTGAGTGTCTTTTGGATCTTCTTAGTGTGGTGGTAGGAAATTATAATGCTCCCTGCTGTTTCTTGTGCTAAAAGGTGCGATTCTGTACCATGCGGGGGACCTGCAGCACCTAGCCTGGCTGGGTCTGCAGTGGACCTTCATGGACCAGCGTGTGGCCCTCAGGGATTGGCTGATGCAGCTCTTCCCTCGGCTCACACTGGAAACCTCTAAGCTAGACACAGACGCCCCGGAGTCCATATGTCTGCTTGACCTGGAGGTATGGCACAGTTCATTTGTTTTTTTTTTAAATTATATGGTCTGTTCGGGTTTCAGCTGCTGCTGAAATGATTCGTAATGATGCCCCCTTATTCCTGATTTATTTGTTCTTTCTAAAGTCTTTGTGCTCTGCTGCAGGTTTTCTTGTCTGGAGTTGTGTTTACCAGCCATGCTCAGCTGCAGGAGGTTTCCAAGATTGCAGGCAGTTCCCAGCTACATGAGCCCAGATGTCTGCCACTGCCAATTATCAAGCTGCTGTCCACGGACAGGCAGAGGAGTTGGTGGGATGCAGTGTACAAACTCATCCACAAGATGGCCCCGTGAGTTATTCCTGTGAGGTGGAAAGCAGGCTGGGCCGATCAAAGAATAAGAGAACCATTCTTTCTCCAGAACAACAAATCTGGGTTACAAAACTTAAGCAAATTAGGCCTGCATGCCTTAAGGGTGTTAAGAGCTAAAGGGTGGTTTTGGTTTTATTTATTTTTTCCCTCTTGCATTTTGAAAAACGATTGTGTTAATTCCACAGATGCATTTTTCTAAGAACATAAGTGGAAGATGGCAACTACTGCTGAGTATTTTCTACAGCTCTGATATGCTTTCTCTTTTTAATGACCATTGAACATTGCAAATTTAAATTGATTCGTACATAACACAAAGCATTGTAAATATGGGTTTTTGTATGTCAGTATAGAGATGAAGTTTAGTTAAAATGAAACTTTTAAAAAGTAGAATGCGGTAAGAGATGTAAATAAGAACTGAAGTCCATGATTGTATTGTGATCCCAAGCTAATTTCCTAGTTAATAATCAAACTGAAACGAGCGTGTTGAGTGCTCAGCTAAAGTGTTTGCATTTCCACAGGCCAGGGATGTCTGCGAAATTGAGGGTGACAGTCCAACACAGCCTAAGCACCCTGAGAGCTGGAGAGAAACACGGCCTGCAGCCAGCATTGATCATCCACTGGGCTCAGCACCTCAGTGAAATGGTACTGATCACACCCTGCCGGTTACTGCTATGTTAGGAGACCAGTTTTGCACGTGAAGTTTCAATGTAGTGGTTGAACAGCATTTTTGTAAACTCTGTTTTGTGCTTTTCCTGAGTCGCTGTGGAAAATGTGTACAACTTGGCTTATTCTGTCTATTGCTGAGGTTTTTAGTAGCATCTTTGTAGTGTATTGTGTACTTTATTAGATATCTGTGCAAGTAATTTTATTAAATTGACCCTCTCTCTTGGCTTCTCATGTTTCTGCAGGGAGGTGGATTAAACTCTTATTACGACCAGAAAGAGTACTTTGGCCGTAGTGTTCACTACTGGAAGGCCGTGCAGCCGCTCCTGGAGAAGATCAAGAGACGCAGGAGCATTCCTGAGCCGCTCGACCCCATGTTCCCGCACTTTCACAGTAAAGACATTCAGGTAAATTTCCTCCAACCCTATCAATTTCTGTTTCTGTTTTATCCAAAAATGGATGGCTAGCAGTGTTTACTTTGAGTTAATAACACTGTTTCTCTGATCCAGGTCTCTGCTGTTAAAGGTTATGAAGATGAAGCCAGTATTGCTTCGGCATTGCATCTTGATATTGAGGGCAAAACTGAAGAAGCAATCACTGTGCTTGAGACACTCGATACTGTCTCCTCCAGCTGGCATCTTGCCAGGGTATGTGGGACACTGTGGCCTTTTCAGCGGACTGTTTGTTCTGCTGTGTCTTGCCTTGCCTTCATGAACTGGTTCCTTTTCAGATCTTTCAGAGGCTTTCTGAAGAAGCGGGCAGTGGGTTGGAAGAAACTCAAGACCGGTGCATCGCATTCTTAATGAGCTTCAGGAAACAATTAAGGAGAATTTCTCGTGCCAGTGCATCAGAAACAGAAAAGGTTAGACTTTTTGAATTTTGGCCACTCTGCTTTGCCAGGTTCATGGAGGCAATATGGGGGAGGGAACTGTACATTTTACAGAAAATCACAAGGGAGGTATTAGAGACAGTACTGGGCAGTATACCGGTTTTAATTTCCTGTACAATAAGAATTTTTTCATATTCATCCATACCGTAGCATAGCTGAAACAGCTGTAATGTATTTGCCGCTCAAAGCACTATGGAGCAAAGTGTATTGAGGTGACCCCTATTAACTGTGCATACCCTTCTTACCAACGATTATAACTGTATAACATAATTCTCCATAATGTGTTATCACAATTGCGTCACTCGCCAAACAGTGGCAGGAATTTGTATGGTACTTGTATGGTGTCATACTCTTCACAGTAGAATAAGCTGCTCCAAATCTATATAAATGCCCAGTCATGCGAAACAATGCAGTGAAACTGCCAGAATCTTAGAAAAAAAAACCATGACACAAGAACTAGGGGTACTTCAAGTACATCTTGATCTGTATAGTTTCGTTATTGTAGATGATATTTATTGTAATATATTGAGTCAGTTTCTCGTCTGGTGGGAAGGTTTTGACCTCTTACGTTCTTTCCAGCTTCCTGTTTCAAGGGAGGAGGTTATGGACCTTCTGAATGATGTGAATCAGCAGCTGGGGGAGACTGAGGCCGATATTGAAGGGGTTGGCAGAACTCGGCCAATGCAATCCAGCCCCTGTCAGATGAGCCTGCTGAATGAGCCGAACATGTCTGTCTCGCACATCAAGGTCTCCAGCCCATCCCCAAACAAGAGCATGTCATCGCCCTCTAAAAGGCACATGGTAATATCCACTAATGCCTTTTTGCAGGCTTTCGTTTTCCTGAAGCATGTCTTAGATTATTTAGTATGACTGTATTTACCAACATTGATGCCTGCAACGTTTGTGGGGCGGAATTCTTAGTGTGTATTTCCTGTTTAAAAGTTCTCTCCTAAGACACCACCTTACTGGGTTGAGGACCAGAAAAATCTTCTGCAGATGCTCTGTCAGCAAGTGGAAGCCCTTAAGGTCAGACTGTTGCTTTTAATATACTATGAATATTAATCCCATTTTGCCCATTTGTTAAATGAAGAAAATATTCAATTGACTACTTGTGAATACAGAAAGAGGTCCATGACTTGAAGCGCAACTCTTCTGGGTCCAGAGCATCCCCACCTCACCCCAAGGCGTATGGTGATGGGTACAGTGCAGAAGCACTTCAAGACTCATTCCCAGCAGCACAGAGCTTTCATGGTGCACCTCTTACAGGTCAGTTAGGAAAATTTCAAGCTTGGTTAATTTACTTTTACATACTTCCCACCAATTCCTAAACATTGAATCAATACCTATGGCTTTTTGTCACATTAAATAATTATATAAGTAATGATATTTTTTTTTTCCCCCCAGTGGCCACTACTGGTCCTTCTGTATATTATAACCAATCCCCTGCTTACAACTCACAGTATCTTCTACCAGCAGCTGCCAGTGTCACTCCAACCAAGGTAAGCGTCAGGGTAATATGTTGGTTTTTAAATTCAACCTTTTTTTTTTTTCTTTTTTTTTTTTTACTCTTTTGCATGTTAGACTAACATTACCAGAAATATAGCTCTGTTGTGAAATACGTTGTGTTGATTGTTCCTGCTCCTCATCCCTTTCAGGCTCCAGTATACGGTATCAACCGTTTCCCACCACAGCAGCACATGTATGCCTACCAGCAGCCCACTCACACACCTCCTTTGCAGGCAACTCAATCTTGCATGTATCCCCAGGACCAAGTGTATGGAGCTCCTCTGCGCTTTGAGTCTCCTGCCACCAGCCTACTTTCCCCATACAGTGAGGAGTATTATGGCCATACAGTTCCTCAGCCCACCACCAATCACCCACTACCTGAGCCTGGTTATTTCACCAAGCCTTCTGTTCCTGTTCAGCCACCAAAAAATAGCGAAACAAAGTCTGTGGACTTTGGCAAGATGAGCTTTGGTCAGAAAATTCCTGTTGAACCTGCTAAGGTTCCTAGCTTTGGAGCAGGGGCAATTGCCCAGTCAACACCTGTAGCTGCAGCATTCAAGTTCAACTCAAATTTTAAATCCAACGATGGGGATTTTACATTCTCATCCACTCAGGCAAAAAGTAACAGTGAAAGCCTGTTAGGACTTCTGACATCTGACCTTCCCCCTAGAACTGAAGGATCTTTAGGACCAAAGACTCCAACTCAAGACCAGGCACAGAGTCAGGGTGGATTCTTCACCTTTGGTAATAAAGGTGGTGTACCTAAGTTTTCCTTTGCGGACGTGTTTCAGAACCAGAATAAGTCTCATCCTTCTGGGAAAACTGAGCCATTTAGTTTTGATGGAACCAAGTCAGTTTCTAGCATGACAGCCAAGGATGCACATGAAGAAAAAGATGTTGAAAGCGACAATGAAAGCACTCGTGTTGAGGAAGATGAAGATGGCCCTCACTTTGAGCCCATTGTGCCCCTTCCTGATAAAGTGGATGTTAAAACAGGTGAAGAGGATGAAGAGGAAATGTACTGCAACAGAGCAAAATTGTTCCGCTTTGAAGCTCAAACAAAAGAATGGAAAGAGAGGGGGATTGGCAGCATTAAGATTCTGATGCACAGGACATCAGGCAAGGTACGCTTGCTAATGAGAAGAGAGCAAGTGCTAAAAATTTGCGCCAACCACTACATCACTGCAGATATGGTATTAAAGCCTAATGCTGGTTCCGATAAATCCTGGGTTTGGTATGCGGTTGATTATGCAGATGAAATGCCCAAGCATGAGCAGCTGGCCATTCGGTTTAAAACTGCAGAAGAAGCAGCCCTTTTTAAGGCTAAGTTTGTGGAGGCCCAAGAGGTGGTGTCAAAGTCTCCTCAGAAACAGGAACAACAAACTGACAAAGAACTTTCTTCAAAGACCTCTGCTTCAAAACCAAGAGGCAAAGAAGTAGGGTTTGGGCTTCAGTTTGCAAAGAAAGAAGGGGAGTGGGACTGTGATGTATGCTGTGTAAGAAATAAGCCTGCCGCAGTTCAGTGTGTTTCTTGCCAGAGCCCTAAACCTAAACCTCCAAAACCAAGAGGCAAAGAAGTAGGGTTTGGGCTTCAGTTTGCAAAGAAAGAAGGGGAGTGGGACTGTGATGTATGCTGTGTAAGAAATAAGCCTACCACAGTTCAGTGTGTTTCTTGCCAAAGCCCTAACCCAAAAACTAAACCGCAGCCGGATTCAGCCACTAAGGGATTTGTAGAATCCACCTCAGGGTTCAGTACTCCGAAGAACACAAGCTTTAGCTCAAGCGGACCCGCTTTTGGATCATTTGCTCCATTGCCTGCATCTTTTAAGTTTGGGACAAGCAGTACTGCTTCCAGCCAGTCAAGTTTTGGTGATGTGTTCGCCAAGAAAGAAGGGGAATGGCACTGTGAAGTCTGCCTAACTAAAAATGCTGTAGGAGTAACAAAATGTGTTTCATGTCAGGCCCCCTGTAAAGTACAGGGTGATATGGCAGCTGCTTTGGGGTCTGGGGATTGTAGTACACGCCTAGTTAAAAATGAGTCTTCCTCAAATCCTGATGCTAAAGGCACAGTTACAGCTGCACCATCAGTTTCTGCCTTTAATTTCAACTTTGGTGGTAAAAAGTCAATGCCACAACCTCCATCCACAGGGTTTCAGACGACTTTCAATGCTAGCAGCACCTTTACATTTGGCCAAGCTGAAGACAGCTCCACTCCACTGTCATTTAAGTTTCAGACACCTTCACCTCAGGTGGATGTTAAAACCCCCAATATGGGCTTTTCCTTTTCAATGCAAGTACCTGCTCATGGATTTAAGTTTGGTACTCAAGAACCGGCTAAACAAACCCCTCCAGCTGAAAGTCAAGAAAGTGGAGGATCTGCTTCTGCATTCTTGAAAAATATGGCTGAACAGCACAAAGAGAAGGAGTGTAGCACAGAAGTATCCAGCTCTGCACAAACAGCTAATAAGCCTGAAGAAGATGACAACCCCCTGTTTTCTGGGAAGATAGACACATTTAGTTTTGCAGACTTGGCGAAATCCTCACAGGGTGAGTTTCAGTTTGGTCAGAAGGATCCCAATTTCAAAGGCTTCTCCCGTGCTGGAGAGCAGCTGTTTTCCTCGTTTCAACCTGAGTCAAAGGCAGACACCTCTTCAGATCAAAATGAGGAGGGTATGTACAACACTGAGGAAAATGATGATATTCAGTTTGAGCCTGTAGTTCAGATGCCTGACAAAGTGGACCTTTTCACTGGAGAGGAGGATGAAGAAGTGCTTTATAGCCAGCGTGTCAAACTCTTCCGATTTGATCCTGCTGCTAGTCAGTGGAAAGAACGAGGTGTTGGCAATATTAAATTCCTTAAGAACAATCAAAATGGAAAACTAAGAGTACTCATGAGAAGAGATCAGGTCCTCAAAGTATGTGCCAACCATTGGATCACCACTACTATGAACTTGAAGCCCCTTTCTGGGTCAGATAAGGCTTGGATGTGGCTAGCTAATGACTTCTCCGATGACGATGGCAAGTTAGAGCAACTTGCAGCTAAATTCAAGACGACAGAGTTAGCAGAAGAATTTAAGCTGAAGTTTGAGGAATGTCAAAGGCTACTTTTAGACATACCTTTGCAGACCCCTCATAAGCTTGTTGAGAGTGGGAGAACTGCTCATCTTATTCAGAAAGCTGAGGAGATGAAGTCTGGTTTGAAAGATCTGAAATCATTCTTGACAGATGATAAAGCAAAGCTCAAAGAAGATGAAAGTTGTGTCAGCACAACTGTTGATAGTTCAAGCTTTAAGATCAATGCAGAGGTTACTGGTACTACTTTGGAGTGGGATAACTATGACCTGCGAGAAGAAACCCATGACAATAGTACAGACACCTCAGTCTATGCTTCTCCATTAGCAAGCAGTCCTGTTCAGAGAAATTTGTTCCGGTTTGGAGAATCAACTTCTGGTTTCAGCTTCAGTTTCCAGCCTATTCTTAGTCCATCCAAATCCCCCACAAAGCTGAATCAGAGCAGAGGTTCAGTTGGTACTAATGAGGAATCTGACGTGACTCAGGATGAAGAGAGAGATTGCCAGTACTTTGAGCCTGTAGTTCCTTTACCTGATCTTGTAGAAACATCTACTGGTGAGGAGAATGAGCAAGTGGTGTTCAGCCACAGAGCCAAACTGTACCGTTATGATAAAAATCTAAGTCAGTGGAAGGAGAGGGGCATCGGAGACCTCAAAATCCTACAAGACTATAGTACAAAGCGTGTTAGACTTGTCATGAGGCGAGATCAAGTGCTAAAACTGTGCGCCAACCACTGGATTAGCCCCGATATGAAGCTTGAACCAATGAGTGGAACAGAAAGGGCATGGATTTGGAGTGCTATGGATTTTGCAGAGCCAGAAGGGAAAGTGGAGCAATTGGCTGTCCGTTTTAAGCTTCAAGAAGTAGCCAACTCCTTTAAAGAGATTTTTGATAAGGCTCAGAACGTTCAGGAGAGTCAGTCTTTGATCACTCCTGTCTCACCAAGAGATACCACCCCACGTGAAACTCGCTGTGGTGAGGCTGCTATTGCTGTTCTTGAAGAGACCACTAGGGAACGCACTGACTTGACTCCTCAGAGTTGCCACTCCACAGAGAGTACTGCCTCTACCGCAAAAGTAGTAGTTTCTCCACCAAAATTTGTTTTTGGGTCTGATTCTGTCCAAAAAATCTTTGGAAGCCCAACATCTTCTAATGAAAAGGTGCCTAGTGTGAAGATTACCACCACGAAGATGACCAGCACCAGCTCATCAGCATCCAAGGCTGACGGCACACTGTCCCAGCCTACTCCAGTCCAAAGGTCCCCGTTTAAAGTTCCTGAGAGAGGTTAGTTGGAGACTATAAATTTAATGTTTAAGGTGCTGATTCAGCTACATATGTTTCCTTTTACCCCATCAAAAAAACCTTGAAATCCAGCCTCCCGCCTCCCAATTGATAGCACTGTAATACTCCGCTTTATTTATAATGCCAGTGGTGACTCTTGCACATTCCTAGCTTATTTACTGTTTGAATGCCACTTGCTCAGTAGCTAAGCCCTTATTTCTTTTAATGGTAAAATGCTATCAAAATACATTTCAAATGTCATTTGTTTTGTACAATGACAGCAATAGGAGTAATATGCTGCATATTTAATACACCCCACATTTCAGAGCAGTGCGGTGAAATGTGCTGTATATCTGAATACATCTTCTGGTGTTTGAATATAAAATTGCTTCGAAAGAGATTTATATTCAAATCCAGGAGTCATTTAGCTTCTCTCCCCCTCCAACTTATTTTTTAGGATTGGATTTTAGGCTTTTCAAAGATAACCCTATGGCTTTTTGGACCAGCACATCATTCAACCAATTTGAACCCCAAGGTATTTTGTCACTGCTCTGAGTGTACTGTGACATGTCACCCACTGGGCTGTCACCAGCTGGCCACTGCTGCCGGATTTAACCAGGCTGTTTGGTGTGAAACCACACACATTTTGTGCAGATCCCTAACATGTTGCATGCCCTTCCTGTTTGGACCAAACCCACTTTGCAGTCAGAGTCCAACATGCCAAAACCAAATTTATTTTGCTATAGCAGCCAATTTGTCAATAGATGTACAATACTCAGAGAATTATAATGTAAGGACAAATAAGGAAAGACTTCTGAATGGAAATTTTATAAATGGAAATTTGCTGTACTCCAATGTAGCTTTTGGACTGACGTGATTGGTGTGTATTTGCAGTGAGTGAATGCGCATATGTGTTCTGCTCAAATTCTGCAGGAGAGGAAAACTTAAAATTCATTTCCATGTTTTTTTTTTTGCGATAGGGATTTGATCTTAATGACTTTCAAGTTCAGTTTCTCTTGAGAGCATGGGCAGAAATTGCTGCCGCTTTTGTGTGAGCAGGCTGAAGTTTTGTGGTGAAATGCATGCATTTTAAGTTTTTGTGTGCATGTATCTGTGTGGAACTAATTTAAGTTGGTGTATTTTCGATACTCAGCTATGGAGGAGGAGGAGGCCTGTTTTTTTAAATTAACTGACAGCTTCAACACTTCAACTGTAGACCTTTTGTTAATAATCTTAAATAGCTTTTCTGGCCCAATTTAATCATTGTTTAATAGTGTCTTAAGCAAAGGTATTGCTTTCTACCTAAAGTTGTAAAAGCCTCTAAATTCTGAACATTCATTGTGTTTTGCTTTGTGAAGCTACTGCTGGTCGAGTGGCAAAAGAAGCATTTGCGACAGGGGAAGCTGTAGACTCTGCTGATTCTGAAGAGGTCCGAGTTGTGTTTGCGCGGGAACCTACGGCTGAGCAGAAGAAACTGGCCCAAGACCTTATGCTGCCCCTCACATTCTTCTGCTACCAGAACGACCCCAGCTACTGCAGTGATGACCAGGAGGATGGTGAGGTCCCTAGGCCCACTTTGGCATTGCATCATCATGGGCCTGAATGAAATGACTCCTATTCGGATTAAATAAATGCATTTTTCATAAAGGTGGTGTAATCTTGCGTTTTGGTACAGATGAAGACTTTGAAACTGCCGTAAAGAAACTTAACGGGAAGTTGTATGCTGACTCGCCTCAGGACACAAGAGCCACAGGTCAGGGGACGATTTAGTCAAAAACATTTGTCAGAAGTCCGTTTTCTTTATCGTCATGCAGCTTTCTCAAATTTAGCCTAGTAGTCTTTATCTGTTTTGCTAAATGTTTATCAGTTGTCCCTTTGTTTACTGTGTGTAAATTTTCATTGTCATTGACTGAACTGTTCAAATCCTTTCCTGTCTAATGGGCTAATATGTCATACAGTGGCTCAGCCTCGCTTGCAAGAAAAGGACCCTGATTGTCTTGTCATTTGGGAGAAAAAACCGACCCCTCAGGAAGAGCAGAAGGCGAGGAGTCTCCAGCTTCCTCCCACCTTCTTCTGCGGTCTCGGTAGCGACACAGAGGCAGAGAAGGATAAGACGGAGGATTTCGAAACTGAAGTTAAAAGAGTACAAGAAGTATGACTTGCCTTAATTTCATTTCATTTTTTTATGACCAGCTAAAGATGCCTTCTGGGTTGAGGGCTACTCCCACCCATGTATGTGCAGTTTGTATGTTCACATGATCCAAAATCATGTGGTTTACACACACACACATATAATATTATATAATATAAAGTACACACATTATATCTAGTTATCTAGTTACACAATTACCTTTGCAGTTCTACAGTTTGAAGTTTTTTGTTACTATCTATATCAGTTTTCTATAACTTAACTGGTCACTCACAGAACATGATGCAGTGTAATGATGGTTGTCTCTTGGTTCTCAGTTTTAGTAACTGTAATATTGGCTACTACTTGTTTGAGTATATATGCACACTGGTACAATGTATAGAGCAGGGTAATGTTAATATTGACATTGCAGGCTGGAAAACAACTATTTTGGTAGTTGATTAATCGTGATCAGGCGAAAGAAAGGGTTTAAAGAGAAGTGCACATTATCAAGAGGTATTTAAGTCACAGTTGTAACTAGAAAAAGTACATTTGCTGAAGAAAATAAGTCGAGTGCGTCAATTCAGCCTCCATTCAGTGCTCAGTAAATTGGCTTTAGGTTGCAAAAAATTCTTATTGCTATATTTGGAAAATTTTCAGTGTAATTTCAATATAATCTGTCGTTCAAAGTAACTGCAGATTCACTCTTGAATTTATTAGTTTAATTGTTTTTCATATTTATTATTCCTGAAAATGATTTCATGAAGACATTTATTGATTTCATAATTGGATATAATTATTTTTTTTCCCCTTTTCCAAACCTATTGGGTGCTGTGTGTAAGTGCTGACTTTGTGTGTATGTTCCTGTATGCCTGTATGCCTGTATGTTCCCTGTATTGTTATGATATTAGGGTCCTGTTTTTATCTTGTACTTTAGGAGATGCAGAAGCAGAAGGGAGCCGTAAATGTGGAAGCTTCTATCTCCAGCAGCACCAGCACCAGTGCAGATGGCGGCTCCTCTGTGGTGCCTGTTCCTGAATGTCGGCCTGATGTCTCCAGTGCTGCCCCGCCTGTCCTTAGTCCAATCGATCTGTCCACCAAGAAGAGCGGAGAGCTGGACTCTGGCAGCTCTGGTACAGCACATATGTATCACAGCCAGAATATGCACGCAGTCCTCCTGTAGTTCATTTTTTGAAAATATGTAGCACAATTTTCACTACTGTTGAATTTCTACAGATTTTGTGCATGCTGGTCCAAGTATTTGTAGAATTTAGTTCTAATATTGTGTTCCATTTCGATGTCCTTTATCCTTTCACAGAACCTGTCACAACGTTTGGATTTCATTCTACTGGTGGGTTTTCATTCGCAGACCTGGCTAAAAATTCTTCTGAATTTGCATTTGGAAAACAAGGTTGGTACCGATTCTAGGTTTCATGCTTTATTTGTACTGAATGTAAGCTGAAGGGATTTCTTCAGCACCAACTTTTGTCTGCTAATGAGTCCTGTTCCCCCCACCCCCAAACAAGATTCAAACTTCACCTGGGCGAATACTGGAGCTGCAGTGTTTGGGGCAGCTACTGTGCCCCAAAACGAGGGGGAGGATGAGGCCAGTGGTGATGAAGATGCCACCAGCAATGTGGAAATTCACTTTGAGCCAGTTGTTTCATTGCCAGAGGTTTGGATTATAGCCGTTTGACATCTTATGCACTAGGATCGGCCAGAACTGTGTAAATGCCGGACACAGTGTTGGAAGTTTTAGCGAAGGCTTTGGTGACATGAAGTGTCCTGTGGGGTATTCTATCCAACAGGTGGAGACCAAGTCTGGTGAAGAAGATGAGGAGATCCTGTTTAAGCAGCGGACTAAGTTGTACCGCTGGGACAGAGACCTGAACCAGTGGAAGGAGCGTGGCGTGGGTGACATCAAGATCCTCTTCAATCCTCACAAGCATTACTACCGAGTGCTCATGAGACGCGAGCAGGTGCTCAAAGTGTGTGCCAACCACACCATCACCAAGGACATGGACCTCAAGCCCATGATCATCTCCCCTAATGCTTTTGTTTGGACTGCCACGGACTATGCAGGTACAGGGAATAAATATTCTTTTTAAACACATCTTGATATGGTGACTGACTTTTTGAGGTTTGCTGAAGAAATTACTTGCCCAATGAAGTCAAATACTTTTTGTTCCAGAGGGCGAGGCAAAAGTCGAGCAGCTGGCTGCCAAGTTCAAGACTCCAGAGCTGGCCGAGTCTTTCCGGAAGAAATTTGAGGAGTGCCAGAGTCAAATATCCCAGGAGGAGACTTCCCTGTTGTCCTGTGTGCAAGAGTTGTCCCAAGAGAGCAACCCAGTGGTGTACTTCACGATCTCTGCAGATGACCAGACACTGGGAAGGCTCACCATGGAGCTCTTTGCCCATATCGTCCCCAAGACTGCAGAGAACTTCAGGGTACTCTGCACTGGAGAGATGGGTCTTTCTTACCGCAACTCCATTTTCCATAGGATCATCCCTGAGTTCATGTGTCAGGTGAGCCAGTCTTATGATCATAGATGGGCATTATGCTGGACCAAACACTGAGTCAATACATGGAACGTCTGTCGTTTTGATTTAAATCACCCAAATTAAGCGCCTTGTTTTGATTGACAGGGAGGTGACATCACCAATCAGAATGGCACTGGTGGAAAGTCCATCTATGGGGACAAGTTTGAGGATGAGAACTTCGACGTGAAGCATACGGGGCCCGGTATACTGTCCATGGCAAACCGGGGGAGGGACACCAACACCTCCCAGTTCTTCATCACTCTGAAAAAAGCAGAACATCTGGACTTCAAGCACGTGGCATTTGGTTTCATTAAGGATGGAATGGATGTACTAAATCAAATGGGAAGTCTGGGCTCTGACAAAGGCACACCAAATAAAAAGATAGTCATTTCGGATTGTGGACAGCTTTAGTAATTAGCTGAATGAGCATTTTACTAAATCAACACTTAGGGCTCTGTGTCTCCCTTTGTCAATTTCAGATGTATTTGTGTGTAAAATGTATATGGATCACTATTTTTTATAATTAGGTTTAATTGCATGTTGTAATAAGGCCGGAGATAAGTTGTTCAAAATCTCCCTAATCATGTTGAAGTCTTAATACATTTCAATTAAAGGATGAAACTGCTTTTGAGGTTGAAACTCGATATGGATTTGTAGTGTCTCTGCTTCTGATCTGCTGAATTCACTTCTAATTTATTGTAGTTTCCACCTTCAACCCCAGTGACCTGATAGTGGATGATACAGATAGATATCTAATTTTATATATACATGTGTGTGTGTGTGTGTGTATGTGTGTGTATGTGTGTGTATGTGTGTGTGTATGTGTGTGTGTATGTGTGTGTGTATATGTGTGTGTATATGTGTGTGTATGTGTGTGTGTATGTGTATATGTGTATGTGTATGTGTGTGTTGCATATATATATTATTTACTTGCCATTTACATATTTTATGTTGCACTGGGATACACCTGCTCACCATTAGTTCATCCTTAGTGGGTGGAATGGCACAAAACCTGCATTTATAATCTGATCAGCCATAACATTAAAACCATCTGTCTAATTTTGTGTAGTTCTTCGTGCCATCAAAACAGCTCTGACCTGTCAAGGCATGTACTTCACAAGACTCTGCATGTGTCCTGTGGTTTCTGGTACTAAGACAGCAGCAGATCCTTTGTCCTGTAAGTTGCCAATGGTCTCCATCGGTCAGGCGTTTTTGTCTAGCACATCCCTCAAATGGTCGATCGGATTGAGATTTTGGTATTTTGGAGGCCAAGTCAACACCTTTAACGCTCTCGTCTTGCTCAGACAATTCCTGAACAATTATTGCAGTGTGGGAGGGTGCATTATCGTGTTGAAAAAGGCTGCTGCTAATGGGGAATACTGTTGCAATGAAGGGGTTACTTGGTCTGCAACAATGTTTAGGTGGGTGGAATGTGTTGAAGTAACAATCCTCATAACTGCAAAGGTTTCCCAGCAGAACATTGCCCAGAGTATCACACTGCCCCCACCGGCTTGCCGCCTTCCCATAGTGCATCCTGGTTCCGTCCCTTTCCCAGGTAAATGACGCGCACACACCAGGCCGTCCACACGACGTAACACAAAATGTGACATCAGATCAGGCTGTAGGCACTTTCAGTGGTAGACAAGGGTCAGCATGGGCTGTCTGACTGGTCTGCAACTGCACTGCCCCATATGCAGTAAGCTGAGATGCACTGTTTGTTCTGATACCTGTCTAATAGCCATTAACTTTTTTAGCAATCTCTACTACAGTAGCTCTCCTGTGGGACCCGACCAGATCGGCTAGTCTTTGCTCCCCATGCAAATCAGTAACCCTTGAGCGCCATGGGTGTAGGTACTGGCCACTACATACCAGGGACACCCAAGACCTGTTATGGAGATGCTCTGACCCAGTCGTCTGGCCATCACAATTTGGCCCTTGTCAAAGTCACTCTTGTCCTTACTGCCCATGTTTCCTGCTTCCAAGACATCAACTTAAATAACTGACTGTTTACTTGCCTAATATATGATGGCACCCTGAACAGGTGTCATTGTGCCGAGATAATCAATATTCCACCTCTCAGTGATTTCAGTGTCCTGGTTGTTTGGTGTACATTGTGCTAAAAGGCTGATAAATTCCTCAAAACATAGTAAATGGCTTTCCTTGATTTTACTGCATAATCCATTTTCCTTTGAGAAAGACTTCCTTTGGTTTAAAGGGAGGCTGAAATAATTTCTTAAATGTTTCCTGTGAAATATTTAACTTGCTATTATTGGATTTTTTTAATGTCCACTGTGGTTAAAATAATATCGCTGTATAACACCAGGGGGCGTTGGAAGCACATTTATGATGTCTGTTTAAAAATGAAAGAAGTATAGGTCCTTGTTATAGTGCCAGTGACTGATATTGGTCAATAAGAATTGTTTTTGGAGAATCTGATCTTAAAGTATTTAATTTTCCTTCTCTTTAGTTTCTCACTCATCACACTTAAATGAAATCTCTTGTGTGTCATGTCCTGTTCTTCAGGATCCCTGTTTGTTTTTGACATGTAGTTTATTATGTGCTTGATATTTACCAATTCCCCAGTGATTTTGCGTATATCTGAATTTATATTTTGCTTTTTGCAGCCAATCTACACAAAAGATACATTAAGCTTGTTTTTATGTGGGGAAAAAAATCACAGTTGAGGTTATGTTGATTATTTTGATTTTGCACTTAAAAAGCATGGACGGATGATAGACTCATCTTTTAATTTGTCTTTTATCCATCCATTGGTATATCCATTCAAGATGTTATTCAGTGTTCTTTGACTCATAGTAGGAATCATACATTGGACATGATACAGGGAACACTGATGAATATTAGGCATCTTAATGTTGTCTGATAAATGGAAAATCAGCTGTAGATGTAACTACAAAGATCAGATGGCCCATCAACATGATTCTCTTTACTTATAGAGTCACTGAGAGGTCATGTCCTGCTCATTTGAATGATCTGGTTAATTAAGGTGTACAGATCTTTCAGATTACAGCCTTGTGACGAAACTATTGGTGGTGAAGCCTTCAGAGATGAAGCTTCTATTTTATGGACCAGTCTGCCATTTAGCATGAAGAATCTTTCTGCTGTCAGTGTTTTAGCTTGAAGTCCTGCTGTTTTAGTTAAATACCACCGCTGTGCTATGTGTCACACTTACGTACCAAACCATGGTATCCTTCATCTCCTCCATCCATACATGCTATCTTCTTCATCAGATGAATGCAAGCTGTGAGTTCAGCTCATGTCCAAGGTTGCAGATAGACTTGCTGACCGTCACTGGCTGAAGACCGGGCTATGAACACCCCTTGTTCTCTTGTCTAAGTGGAACATTCCCTGAGGATGAATTGATGCCCCAAAGAATGTTCTCCAAATTGCCTTTTTATTTTACTTTCTTCTCTTCCTGTTCTATTGTTATGTTATGCACTGCTGTGATGCTCTTTTTGTGATAAATGATGTGCTTTAGGTGAAGTATATTGCAAAGGCCATACATTAAAATAAATGAAATTTGAAACTGAATTTTTTTCCCCATGTTTTATTGTTGTACTTGTTCCATTGATCTACATATATTCCCTTATATAAGCTATTTCTTTTCAAACCAATAATTAAAATGTTCTTTAGTGTACCAGTGTGATTTTTGAATAGTCTTTTTTTCCCATTTTGAAAATGAAAGTATTCATACACTTTCAAAGAGCGCAACACAGCGCATACGTACACTTTTAATAAATAAAGGCACTTCCCATGCCTGTCATCGCTGTTAACAGCATTCTCCTGCGCTCATATTAGGTGGAATTAATTGTTTAATAGCCCCAAAGCATTTGAAATGCCAGGCTGGGTCCACAGCACTGACATGAGAAAGGAGGTGCTGGTGAGCGGGCTTTGGAGCAGAGCCTGAGCTGCCGGGACAGGGCCAGGAGCAGGGGTGCCTGGCCTGTTACTTTATGCTAATGTGTCTCCGTCGGGGTGAATGTTTATGGTGTGTATTGGGTTTCCTTGCACCGCGCTGCCAGCACCCTGCCGCCTCGTCGTGTCTCAGCCTGCTGAACTCAATGACAGCCTTTGTTTTCTGAACAATGGCTCTTACACCAGGGTGATTTGTTCATGTCATTCTACAGGCTGGGGAGGGGTTCAGGCTCATGTAGCTCTGCCGCAAACCCCCCCCCCCCCACAACTCTAAGAGCCACACCAAAGTGGCTTCAGCATGGACTACAGAAATTCATTTTCCCCCCCAATCCACTTAAAAGTAAGGTTCTGTCTGCATGTAGGATATTGATAAAGACTATTAAATAAATAAATAAATAAAATATTCATCAGATTTCATCAGACTGAAGTGTTGAGAAAATGGCTGAATGCAAAATGCTTAGGTGACCAGTTTAGATCTTCAGGCTTATTCCTGGAGGCTTTGTTTTTTAAGCCAAGGCTGTTTATCGGATCCAAACAGCAATAGCCTTTCTAACCTTAACCCCACTGCTGCAGTAAAGTTTGCTGTTGTGTTTGTGTTGTCATGCTGAGTCTCGTGTAGCTGCCTGCAGGTTATTAAATGACCTGTCCTCCGAAGCTGGTGGGGGGGTGTTATATAGAGGTGGTTTAGCCACAGTCCAAGTGCCCCCAGGGTACACGCATTTCCTAAACATTTTGTTTTTCTGCCAAAATTCACAATCCTTTGATGTATCCAGAAGATATAACTAGACAAAGCAAAATGCTGCTGTGCTTCTTCCTGCAAATTTCATAGGAGTGTGACTTTTTAATATTATTATAAGTTTGGAGTATTTCGGTGTAAGTTTCCTTTTTACAAATCCAGGCCCGTGGTGTGTAATTCTTATGTGTTTACTGAGTGAATTATTAGGACCCAGTCATGATACGGCGCTTGGTTTTGCTGAAACTCAGTTTCAGGCCTTTCCTACGCTGTCAAAAAAGCACCAATTTGCATGTTTGAGGGTACAGTTACTTGTCACCCTAGCTCTAGGTAAATGTACCTTTTAAGGTACAGAAATTGACTCTGAGGAACATTACTAAACCATTGGGTGTACATTATTGTTATTTGTACCTTGCGTAACAGAAAGGTACCAGGGCTGTACCCTTTTTCTGACAGTGTAAATGACCTGTTTGCGGATAATAACAGTAATCTGGTATTTGTTGACATTCTGTAAAATCACACTCCCAGTTATTATACAGTGTATGTCAAGGGGTCATTTCAACAGCCACAAAACTACTATTAAATCATTCAGTGAATGACGCTATTGCAGCTGGAACGTGCAATGACTCGAGCTGCACAGAAGAGGACAGCGTTGCTATTTTGTGGCAACAATTTTGGCTGCACTGGTGCAAGTGAATTCTGACTGGTGAAACTCAGTGCTCTTTGAACAGACTGCCAGTTTTTTCAGCTCATTGTTCATTTTCAGTCCAGCTTAATTCTATCACAGAACTGGAAAGAACTGAAATAAGTTGTTAGTTTAATCCTCCATCCAAGTTTAATGAGTGTTTCACCTAAAATGCCTTTAGCTTAGAATAACTGTAACATTAGACCTAATAACGGTATATAAAATTATATAATGAAGTGTAATTATAATAAAAATGAATTATCTACGTTCCTTTTGCGGTCTGCCCCCTCACC